CAACTGTCTTATAAAACTTGCCTTTCAACTTCATTGGTATGTGAAAGATTGCATAATACAATATACAAACAAATCAAGCATGACGACCGAGACCTTAGTTGCTGCCACATTCCACAATGCTTGAAAAAATAAAAACAAAAACAAGCAACAAAATCAGCAAAAAACATACCGTGAGAGTTGCCCAAATTACCTCCAAGGACTCGGTTCACCCCACAAAGGATCTCCCATCGTCACTAACACCATGACTTAGGCAAATTCATGTCCTAAAGATTTTTATGGGGAATCTATAAAGATCTCAAAAACCTTGCAGAACATGACTCTCAGGATATCTCCTTTTCTACAGCGCGTTCTCTACCTCCTAAGGTCTCCTTTTTCTTTCCCATGCAGCCCTCTTGAAGTTCTTCATTTTCTCTTTTCTTGAATGCCCCTAGGGATCCTCTGACTTTCTTTACACGTACAGGCCCATGAGAATCATTTTTCTCTAATCTTTAGCCCATAGAGAACATCTTTCTCTAATGCACAACTTGAGTAGCCCACAGAGAACTTCTTTCTCTTTTCACGTACATGGAGTAACATGTAGAGAACACCTTTCTTTTTTCTCAAACTTTGGCAGTAGATATGGAACTCTAGGCATCACATTGTGGCACCCTACCACCCTGACCACCCAAGCCTAGAGCCCCTTCCTAGAAAACCTTTTTCTACCTTGAACTTGCAGCAGCCTTAGAGAGTCCTTATCTCCCTTTTTCACACTCGAACAGCCCTCTAAGAACATCTCTGTTTTCTTCTCTCTTATATGAATGATGTGGTGACTGAAAGGCTACCCCATTGGTCTTTAGGCCAGGCAAGTCAGGAGGAACACAAATGTTGTTCCAAGGTTAGAATGTGGTCAAGATAAGGAGTTTTCTGGTTGCAGCAGAGAGCAGCATGTGATGGAGAATGAGAAATAAAGGGTATCTGCATATGCGAAATAAGAAGAAGTACATGGGCCAACATGTGATACTCAAGGAAGATCTCTTCAAGCATCGACAACTAGAAAAGATAACAAAATAGAATAATATAAAGCGATCATTCATAAAACTCAAAATATTAATTTCCAGTTTTTCTACTGCCAAGCTCTTAGAAATGGTATATCAGGTCAATGGGATCCCCTTGTATCGTACAAAATCCACTTGATGGCACCTTAATTAAGATGAACTATTAAGGGAGTATCCTTCAAACTAAACTAAACTAATATGGCCACTTCCTAATAGGAAATGAGGGCAATGCATTTATCCATGCAATAATAAATGGTTCAGCAATGAAATCCCTCGAAACTCCTGAATGAAAAAGTCCCTTTTTAACTTCCTTCTAGACAAAATAATCCCTCTATCTAGATGAAAAAATGCCCGATTTTTAAGTCCAAACTAGGTTTGAGTGCCAGCCTCCAAACATCATCACCAAAACAAATTCCTTAAAGGACCTGTATCTTTGCTATTAAAGGTTTTCTTCCCCAAGATAACCGTCTGGTCATGACACTCCTGCTACACACATTGACCATGGTCATGGACTTACGGTATTGAAAAAAACTAGATATCATGCAGCCTTTCCTATGTCACATAACCTGATTTTCTTCCCACGAACTTATTTATCTCGCATTAAATATTCTGATAAACAACGATGCCTTTCTTCCCCAAAACGTCCTTGTTCATACCTTGAACTTCTACCTTGACATATTGCGCTTCTAATGAAATCTAAAATGGCCCAGCCATAATGGGAAACTCTGACCACTATCTTGCTCCATACTCTTAAACTTGGGTGTTCTAGCCGCATAATTTAGACTCTATGTCGTCAAACCCTGTCCCTGTCTAACAGACTTTGCTTCCAACAAGAAAGTTCCATTATCCAAAATTGGCTTGGGCAAGTTTTTGTTTTTTATGATAAATTACAGTTTGGGAAAGCTTTTCTTTCCGGGTAAACTTTATATGTGCTCTAGGTGCATAACGAGTCAATCGACTCAAGTAATTACTCGGTCTTCTTGGTTACTTGTCCAAATAAAAAACAACAAACTAGATAATTCTAGCCAATACCACCAACTTTTTCATTTACAAAATAGTATACTATAAAATGATCATTCATGAAACTTGAAATATTAATTTCCAATTTTTCTACATCCAAGCTCTTAGAAATGCTATATCAGGTCATCACGGGTAGCAATTTCCAACCATGCCTCGGTTTATGACCTACCAAGTCCACTTGGGTAGCCTTATATGATTCTAAGCAACATAAAGAATTCCGTTTATGGTGGGAATCGAGCACCAGGCTTGATTTTTCAGAGAATCAACCATTTATGGGGAAACATCCCAGGATAAAATCCCATACCACTGATCTACCCAAAAACTTACATATAAAAAAATAAAAAACAAAAAAAAAAAGAAAGAGGAAAAGGTCAACTATGGTGACTTCATTATCGAGAAAGAAAGGTGTTTCAAGAAAATGGCATAAAGACCCATATCAGGGGGTAGCTAACAGTGATATATAAGGTATTCGACATTATAAATTTGTCAAATACTTTTTAAATACTTATTTAAAATAACAGATTTATAACATATATTAAATAGTTTTCCTTTATGAAATTTTCGAATCCTATAGTCAGCCTTTACACCACCATGCATCGACCGATATATTTTGAAAGCATTATGGACTATGTCTGTCAATTTCTACCAAATACCTGTAGCGCTCATCATATCGTGATGGGCTGAGCCCAAGCAGGCAGATAGATCAGCTGATATACCTGATATGATCACAGTTTTTTTTAATCTCAGCTGCCAATATTGGAAACAGATTTGAACATTTGTGCTTACATTATGGAATGGAGAACCATTCAGTTTGTAAGTCTTGGAAACTTGATTGGAGGCCATTAAATCAGGGGTAGCAATCTAGCCAAATGCTCAAGGTAAGGTAATTACAGATTCTTCCACACCTTCAGGAGCAGCAAGACCTGCCTCTATCCCCACTAACTTGCTACTGTGATATATTACTAATCAATATAAGTTAGAGTTCTTTACTTAGGAGTAGGAACCTTATCTAGGACGACCACTCTCCCTCTAGGATCTTGATTCCAACACTGCAACTCCAACCAAACCTCATTCATTAGCTGCTTCTCTACATTGGCTTTCTTCTATTCCTGATTGTGTCCCTTCGCCCACTCCCTACATTTGCAGTTCTTCTTCTACTAGTTCTGATAACTGGTTATCCCATGTAAAAAAAAAAAGCACGCTTCAACCCCAAATTGGTAATTTATGTTCTTTCACTAGCATTCTTGAAAGTGAAATCCTAGAATTGGAATTTTTTGTGTTACACATCCTAAAGTTTGGGTTCCCTTTACCTTGTCTCAATTTACGTATCCCTGCACATCAGAGTCCCAATAAAATTGGTGGGCCAAAAAGCAATATCCGGACCTTCATGAACTAGATAAAAACCCAATGTTTTGAGATCAACTTTCCTTGTCTGTTCAACCCATTAGGCACTCTTGCACCAGAAAGCAGCCTCATACATTCTTTACAGCAAGCCACCAGCTGTGCTTGCTAATGTATCCTTCGTATCTCATCTTAAGTTAGATCCCTCCTCCACAAATGCACCTTTCTTGGTTATCCTGCTACTAGGAAGTGACATAAATGCTTTGGCCCCAGAAAAAAAATCTATTTTGGTCTCAAGAATGGTTGTTCTTTCTGATCATTGAGTCTAGTTCTTGCCATCTAATGATAACATCTCTCCATGAAGGGAGACAGCTTCCGTAAGGAAATTGCAGCTGAGATACTCTATCTCTCAGATAGAAGTTCCTTGAATCTAAAAAGAATAAAAGAAACTAGAGAAAAGAAAGTAAAGACATGAAAGAAGTTGAACCTCAAGAGCATACCCGATGAGACGGTTGAAGAGAGAGTTATTTATCCTCTGACTGCATTACTTCTACCCACGAGGCCATTATTCCTCGAAGTAGGTTCAATTTTATCATCCTCATATCAATGCATTGGGCGTTGTGGTCCATTCATTGAACATCATGCTTACTCCAACTTCTTTGACAGGTTAGCATGGGTTGTGAGCCCACAACCTGAGGATTCATAAAAAATTTTGACAAAGTTTTACATTGGCTGCCTACCTAACAGAACCCACTTCCTTTATCCAAGCTTGGGATGAGTTAAGGGAAAGTTTAAGGTCCTTACCCTTCTTAGACTACGTGAGCCCACAACCTAAAGGTTTAAATATGAGCTCAATGCCAGGAGGCTAAAGGCGATTAGCTTAAGCACATTGGTAGCTTCACATATGCAACAGAAATTCCCTTAGAATTTAAGTCATACAGCTGCTCAACAATCTAGAAAATTGCCTAGTAGCAAGGTAAAGAAATAAACAAGTATCCTAATCAAGTGATAAGACAAAATAAGAACAATGGCCTCAATAACTTGTTTAATGTGGAGGGTCGAGTCTATTATTAAGGAAGCTGCAATTGAGAAACTAGAAACAATTAAATTTACAAAAAGATATCAGCATGAAGGGTCAGTCACATGACTATGAATCAACTGTTCCATGAGCAAACATAACATATTGATGTGGATTCTCATAATTTAAGGAGACCTGGAGAAGGAAATAACAAAAAACAAAATATCAAATTTTATATCAATAGAAAATAAAGTCAAATATCGATCAATTAAAAAAGTAAGTCCAGTAGGTTTCTGCCAAGGAACACGAAAACGATGAATTCAATTTCTTGGCTGGCAACTTCAGAATGTTAAATGTGCACTCTTCCATCCGATGTAGCATGCTCCTAGGTGATTCTAAGTTTACTGCCAATAAAATATGCTACCTTCATACCTTACGTTCTTAATCATTTCATGCTCCCACATTCATAATGAATGTGGCACAATTTGGAAACAAGGGGTTGGTATCATTCACTCACATATATTAGCCTCCCAAGAAAAGTTCATAGAGCACTCCAACCCATCTAACCCATCTACATTGTAGCAGAATAGCTCTGAAAAACAAGTCTTGATTCAGCCTACAAAATTACAAGGAACTAAAGAAGCCAAAATCATTCGATTGTGTAAAAGTGAAGGAGAGACAAAGCAAAATAAATATAATCTCAAGCCATGTCTCGGTTGGTGATGAAGGTTCCAACAGCTTTTAACCAGCGCATCAGATGGCGATGATCTTTTACGTAAAGCCAGGCCTGTAGGAAAGCAAATAGGCTTTCATTCACGCCACGCTCGTCCAAGTATTCGTAGAGGCCATCCCGTAGTTTCGCATCGAGATCTCTACAACAACCCAGTTCTTGAAAGTTAAAATTAATGGGTCAAAAAAGTGAAAGTGAAGTGATATGAGATGGTGATTATGTGAAACTTGGTAGCTAACATTTGGAGGGGACAATCTGAGAGAGAGAGAGAGAGAGAGAGAGAGAGAGATGGTGATTACAGGAAACTTGCAGGCTGGTACTCAGAAGGGACACCAATGAAGCTAGGTGGGGAGCGGTTGGTGTTTCTAGGTCTGATAGAAACGGCTTGAATCCCCATGGCGTCGGGGTAAAGAGCACACAGAAAATGGAGGGAATTGGAGCGATCAGTTCTCGTGAAATGCGCATGAAGGAGGAGCTGCTTTATGTCTTCATCTCCATTTTCTTCACCTTGCTCCGGCTGGTGTTGGGCTTCAGAGGGGAGAAGGTTGGCCAGTCGCATAACAGAGAGCTGGATATCCTCATTGTCACTGTAAGACCTTCGAAGAACTGGGCCATCATTGTCTAGAGCCCCTTTCATGATGGAGAAGGGAGAAGGAGGGTTAATTTTCTGCAGCACAAAAACATCAGAACAGCTTTCAGAAACCACATGGGAAAAAGAGGAGAGAGAGAGAGAGAGAGAGACAGAGACAGAGACAGAGACAGACAGAGAGAGAGAGACTAACAGGGGGTGGATTCATCTTGGAGACCTCAAAATAATGGTCTTTGAGAGAGCGGAGTAAGACAGAGTCGATTGCTGATGATGAGGAAAACCACCGATGACCAGCTGCCCTTAACAACATGCCTCCGCCTCTCTACAGAGCCAGAGAGAGAGGATGAGAGAGAGAGGAGGTAATCAAGCTCTTCTCATTTTAAGCAGAATGCTTCAATTTCAATTTAAGAGAGAGAAATATGGTGGAGAGAGAGCAGAGGCCGTTTACAGGCACTTTCAAACACAGGGTTTTAGGGCACGTGAAATGAAGAGAGAGAGTGTTTCAGAGCATGCGAGATGAGAGAGAGAGTTTGTCGTCGGGGTTTAAGCCGGGGTTTTGCAGTCTGCCGATTAGACCATACTGTTTATTTACTCTCTTCAATAAAACTAATTTTACAACTCCAAAATTTGGGATGTAACCTCTTCAAACCCATTGAATAACCTTAATAGAAAAAGATTATTAATTGTGATCCTTACCCATTTTCAAAAAATAATGTATTGCGATTAGACAAAAACGATATTGTTTTTATACTTGGATTCCTTCATCCATAATAGACTTTGATAGGCCAAACATGAGCCTCTTCTTGAGATAGTTCCAATAATTTGGTTTGAGAAAATGATAAGAGATTTCCAAAGTTGAGCGTCTTGGTCAAAAAGGTACCTAATTTTCAAAGGTACCTAATTTTCAAAGGTACCTAATTTTTTTCCAAAAGATTTTATTAATTGAACAAATTCAGTTGGTTTGATAGATAATATTTTAAATATTTTTAGCAATTTTTATTCTTTTAATAATTTTGTTGATATTTTATTATTTTAAGTAATTTTTATTTTTTTAATAATCTTGTTTATGATAATTTATCAAAAAACTATTTTCAATAAATTCTAGATAACAACGTATATGTAAGCCAAATATACATGTAGGGTTTAAGTGACCAATAGGCTCGCAAGTACAAAAGCGCACATGAGATCTAATGGATGCTCCCCACATGGGTGATATTATTTTCGGATATCAAATGCATTGTGACATCACATGGAAGAGCATCCTACTCTTCATTTGTCAGGATGTTCAATTTTGGATAATATCTTTGATATTTATAAATCATGAGATGCGTGTCTTTAAAGGGGTATTAGGGTTTGATATTTAGATTTAAACTTATAATTTTTTTATCATTTATATGATTTCTTTAATTTCATATATTTCCCATGTGATAGTGGGAGAAACTCTTAAATTCTAAATTTAAGACTTAAAGATAGAAGAATTAAATCTAGGAGGGTAAGGCCTTCTCTACACTATCTTTTTGCACATAATTCAATCAAAACCAAGGGAAACTTAGTAAATGATGATTAAAATAAATTTGATTAAAATCTATTTAAAATTTAATTTCAATTGGTGGGAATGTTGAATTGAAAGAGTAGACGAAAATTAGATTTGAATTTAACTAAAGGTTAATATTGTTAAATGGCCTTGATTATGATAGCCAACTTGGGTTCTAGTGGCTATAACCAAGTTTTTGCTAGCCTGTAAGATTCATAAGGCATTCCCCTCATTTGAGATAACCCATTAGGGAAAGGCCTTATACTGTGCAAGTAATGTGCGCGTCAAAAATCCAGACAAAACATTTCGAAGTCGGAAAACTTTTCCAATTGATCATCTCAACCTCAAGATATATAAATATTAAAAAAATAATAACTTCAAGTCATATAAATAATACATATGTTAACAAACTATCTAGACCATCTATTTTCAATATTTTTAAGTATTTATAGATCTGCTTGATTTCCATCATATTTGATATTTTAAATTTTATTACTAGGGTTGGACATGGATTCTTAAGCCATACCCATAGTAACATCTTCTTCTGGTAAAATTTAGAAGCGCACCTTACTTATACTAGTAATATGCACTTGCATTGCAAGTGATATTCAATATTAATAATTGAAATATAGTTATCATTTAAAAAATTTCAATAAAACATGATCTTAAGCAAAGAATGTAATGCATTTGTCTTCACAATTGAATATTTTAGTAGTTAATAATAAATGTAATAGAAAATATTATTTTTAATATACGATTAATTAATACGAATTCATTTGACATGCAATTAAAATAAGAGAGATCATTTAAAAAACAATTTAAATTATATAAATATAACCAATAAATAAATTTATGCGGGGTCTGACTAATGCTAATATAAAATATATTAGCTTAAGACATTAGATCCTATTAATGTCTATATCTACTATATTAGTCCATTAAGGCATACTCAAAAAGCATTAACCTTATTATAATTAAAAGAACGATGAGAATTTATATATATTCATCAATACCTAATTTCAATAATAAGATAGGGGAGAGACATTTAAGGATGAGAGGTGAGATTAACTTATATTTATTTTATTAACCCAGATGTTACCCGTTAAAAATAGACATGGGAAATAGTAACTTGAGTGAGAGGGATAAATTATTATAAATAAAAATATATAAGTTTTTTATTGGGTTGAGGGATTTTTATTGTGCATGGGAATGAATGATTTGAATGTGAGAGAAATAAATTATGTTTAATAAAAAAATGGATGCTTATTAATGGGGGATGTGCATTTCAATAGGTGGTATTTTTTCTATTGCCCTAGCCAAAGAACTGTAAAGTTTATCTAAAAAGCATGAACCGAATAAATAATTTAAATATACTATTTTTCATAAAAAAAAGACTAAATGCGACCAAAAGATTTTTAATATTATTTTAAATAGAAGAATCAAGAGGGACATACTGCAAATGAAAAACAGCAAGAAAAAGTTAGAGGAGACAGGATCACAACATATCAGTCATGAATGATTTTTAATAATTCAAAATTCATAATTAAAAAATAAAATATATTCAAGTATCTAAAAAAATAAAGAATCAAATTTTGTATATGTTGAATATTAAAATAGTCATAAAACTTTTAAAATATAAAAATTATAGCTAAAATATACAAAGACCAAAATTGAGATAGAAATAAAATTATTATTTTATTTTATTTCTATTATCAATATTAATAATATATTTATTATTATATTATTTTAAAAATGTAATAATAATAATAATATAGTTTATTATTATTATTATTGTATTTTTATTAAAATAAAATAATATTATTATTATTAAATTATTATTAATAGCATTTTACTTTTATCTTCTAAAGTAAAGCCCATTGATCTTGAATACTAAAGAAAAATGATTATTTTTCATTTGGATTATTATGATAAATGATAAATCGACTTTGTTTCTCTCACAATTTTTTCATTTAATTTTGTTTCATAATAAAGAGTTCAAAAGAGGCAATAATACACATAGAAAATAGCTAGAGAAAGTTATTACTGTCATAAAAAAAACTAATGTAATGTTAAAATATTCATAAAAAATTTAAAATATAATAAAACGTGGTTAAAATCATAAAGGGTGAAATTGATATAGAAACAAAATTGTTATAATATGACATAAGAAACAATAAGGAAAAAAATTATTATTTTTTCATTGGCATTTAATATTCATGGGCTTTACGTTATACGATAAAAATAATTTATAACATAAAATTAAAATATTATTTCATATTACGGGCATAATACAACTAAAAAATAGCAAAAGAAAGCTAGAAGAGACAATAGCATAAATAAATAACTTATTGGCGATCAAAATAAAACAATAATAATAATAATAAATATTATTTTATTATTATGTTCAAATTTGTAATAAAAAATTAAAATTATTAAAAATCTAAATCATTAGTTTCTTCAATCTAATTGAGTTTCACGACCTGTGAGAGAGAGATAGATCAAACCACTTATTTTTTAAATGTAAAAAATTCATATTACAAATTGAAAAATATACTACCATTTTATTACTATGTTTAAGTTTATAATAAACAATTTTACTATTTTATCACTATGTTCAAGTTTATAATAAACAATTAGAACCATTCAAGAATCTAAATCATTAGTTTCTTCAATTTAATTAAGTTTCACATTCTGAGAGAGGTCAAACCAATTATTTTCTATATGTAAGAAATTCATATTACAATTTTAAGATATACTACCATCTTATTACAATGTTCAAGTTTATAATAAAAAACATTAAAACTATTCAAGAATCTAAATCCTTAGTTTTTTCGATCAAATTGAGTTTTATGATGTGTGAGAGAGAGAGATCAAACCACTTATTTTCCATATGTAAAAAAATCATAATACAATTTGAAAATATACTACATAGAGATAGAGACAAACATCATACTTTTTACCTTTCTCTTAGGAAATATTTTCAAGCTAAAAAAATCCTTGTGAGATTAGTAAAGAAATGAACTTCAAAAAGAAAAATACATTGTTTTCTCATAGGATAAGATGGGTCGTGATAGGCTTTTGGGAGGAAGAAATTGAGAGAGAGATGAGTGCAATAGAAGAAATATTATTGGAGAGATTTAAGATGGGAGTTATCACATAGAGTGCGAAAGAAATAATGAGTTTCTTTATTATACGTTTTTTAGATTTACTACACGATAGAAAAAATAAAGAGAGAGAAACCATTGAGAGTGACCTTTAGGAGGGAGAGATTTTAGGGAAATAAATGAGAGAGATTTTATTGGAAAAGGGAGAAAGAAAGATAAAAACAGTAGAGAGTAAACTCTATATGATACAAATAAGAGAGAAATATGAGATTTTAGTAAAATAAGTGGGAGAGAAATTTTAGGAAAGAAGGAGAGAGATAAAAACATTAAAGAGGGAGGAAGAGATTTATTAAAAAAGAAAACGTTCGGGGGTAGATGATTTATTAGAAAAGAAGAAAGATGTGATACGTGACACAAAACAGGGGGAATACATTTAAGAAAAAATGTAAGGGAAAGAGAGAGAAAATCTTGTGAGTGGAGGGAGGAATTTATTAAGGAAAAAAAAAAATAGGACACTTGGAACAAAAATAAAAATGGTATCCCTCTCACTGATAAATAAATAGTAAAAAGGGGCACCTCATACAAACCTCACCCTTTCTTTATAGCGAGAGAATCTCAATTGAGATAGAGAAAGAGATTTGTCCATGTTAAAGGTTACCAAGAAAGCATTTTTTAGAGAGAAACATATCAGATAAAGATCTGAACAAAGGGGGGAGAGAGCGAGAGAGAGAGATTGCCCAGCTAACAATATACAGACAGCTATGGATAAGCAACATGTACCATGTACATGCTACGTGTGGTATAGTTACAAGGCATAATCATTAAAAAGGGTGGAGAGAGAGAGAGAGAAAGAAAGAGAGAGAGAGAGACTGCCAAGCTAAGAATATACAGAAGTATGGATATGTAGCTTGTACCATGTATAGGCTGAGTGGTATAGCTACTAATTATAATTGGAAGCTCTAATTTATGCAAAATATGATACAATTGAAAAAGAACACAGAAAAATATTTTGATGGTTTCCAAATCTTGGACTAATTTCTGATATTTATGGCTGAAAGATTGCCACTTCTTTCCACTATCTGTAGACATGCAAAAAGGTCCAAAAATTTGTCATTTTTCTCTCCTTTCTTTTGATATTATTACATGATAAATCCAAGCACAAAATAAAAAATAAATAGAAAAGTTTCCATTAGAGGAGCCATAATACCTTGGATACCAAAACATGCCTTTGATGCCATCTGGGTCAGCTTCAAAACCTAAATTCTTATAGAAATCCACAACTGCACAAACAGATTGTTAGATGATGGTAATGAACCGCAGGGCCTTCTCATTCTCATAAAAGCCAACAAGCAAAGGCATCAACAACAATGAGAAAATCAACTGAATTGCCGTGTGTGTGTGTGTGTGTGGGGAGAGAGAGAGAGATATTAGAGTAGGAAATACACCTTGATTATCAGCAAATAGGGTTATGTTGCCAATGTCTCTTTGCAGCAACGCTCGTATCAATTGCTCTACAAGAGCCTTTCCAAGACCTTGACCCTGAATCACAACGAATGATTTATATATCGAAAGGTGCCTATCTGGAAGTATCAACATGGATCCATTTGACCCCCTTCACCACATGAATGAAATGTATTCCATAAATTAAATGCCTGTATGATGTACGATGTACAATCGAGTTCTTCGCACTTCTTTACAAAAACCGACTCCACTTGACAATTAGTCATGAAGGGTCCAATTCTTTCTCAAATGATGAAAGAGATATTTCATTCAATACCCAATACCAAACAGAATGGATTACTGATAGGAATAAGGTATGTCATCCCAGTTATCCAGAAAGAAGGGAAAACAACAAGTTGTATGTATTAAGATTCGCCAATCTCACACTTTTAGTACCAAGAATTTTGTAGATGGCACAGTAATTGAGGTGATGAATTTTAGTTCACCTGATAATTAGGATCAACCAAAACATCCCATATTGTGGCATTGAAAGCATGATCCGATGTAGCACGAGCCAAGCCAATAAGCACCTTCTGATCATACCCTTCTGTCAAATAACTTCTCCAAGTACACTAAGTCGGTACATCATTACATAGATCTTAGCTGCAAATCTTATTTAAATATATGGTAACATGAAATATTAGGCAAGCGAGAAATTAACACAGCTTTGCATATATGTTCAATACAAATAAGTAGGAGTCTTCGATATCTATTATACACTTCCAATTCAAATTTATGATGGCAAAATGGGCGGCATCTATACAATATCCTATACAAAATAACCACATAGTAGGCTTCATCTAAAATATCCTATATCATCAATTAGACAGGGCTATGTTACTTAAACATAGAAAGTTTTGGCAAAGTCTTGTGTTCGCTACTCACCTAAAACAACCCACCTCCTTTACTAGGCTTGGGACGGGTTAAGGGAAAGTTTAAGGTCTTTACCCTTCTTAAACCAAGGCTATATTTCTTAAACAGAAAAAGAGAGAGAGAGAGAGAGAGAGAGAGAGAGAAGAGAAGAGACACTAGGCTATAAGTCTTGGCTGGCAGAATGCCCTTTTAATTGAGCAAGTCCTTTTGTTTCCAATCAGAAACTGATAGCTATGAGGGCCCAGTGGTCAACCTCATATTAAAGGTAGAAATTTTAGCTGGTGAAATAGAGCAGCATATATATAATTCTATCTACACTGTAGTGACACGTCAACATGAAACCCACGATATGCATGTCAGCAATAAGTAACCAAAAAAATTACCAAAGGATGGTTCGAAATGCTTAAAAACCAAAAAATAATGGGCAAATATGAGCAATTTCACCCTGCGCACATAAGAAGTGACATGGAGGATAAAATCTTGAAAAATCATTAGAACGGACAGGCTAGAATGCATTGGATAAACATAGCGCTTCATAAACATTAGTTTGGGAGGCAAGTGTTTCGCACCTCTCTTTTCAGGTCAATTTTCGTGGTTACAAATTTCCAACATATACCCTTTTTTGTGCAAGAGGGCATAATACCTGTATCAGGAGATTTCCTAATTAGGTGAAGAGCTGCCACCATGAAGCTATTTTTCAGTGCTGCAGCTACTTTTGTTAGGGGCCTTCTTGGCCAGCCTACCTACAAAATACAAGACTTTCAATGACCAAGATGGAATAGATGCGTTTGTGTAAGTTGATACCTAATCAAGAATAGGTTAATCAAGATTGAACATAAAACAGATGAAGCATAGTTCATGGGCCCTAGAAACAGCATTAACAAGCCAACTGTGAACATGCATAGGAAAGATAGGTGAATGAGAAAATTGGAGAAAATATGAATACATGATACAACTAAAAGATCAATCCAAATGGTTATGCATGAACAGATTCATCACACTAAACATGTAGCAAATGTAGAAGGTTTGGTATACATACATACGTTGGTCTCATTTCAAGAGAAACTACAGACCATTTGGGACCCCTAATTAACTCTCCAGCTCAATGAGAGGCTCACTGTATACAACCTAGCTCTAAATCTTGAACTCGGACTTCTCTATCCAAGCCAAAACCAAGTTAACTCAGGGACTTTTAGATCTTTATTAAAAATGAAAATCCATAAAAACTAAATATTAGGGAAATAAGCCTCCCTCCCTCCCTCCACAATGCATCGAGTCAACTTAACGCAGAATGAGGATTTATCCACAATCGATCCAATAAATATTCTGGTCCTAGAAAGAAACGGAGGATATCATAATAGATTGGAAAATAAAAACTTTCACCTGATCGCATAAAGCTTGAAGATCATAAATATCAACATCTCCACCTGAAGAAAATACTATCTGTTCAATCATTCCATCTGGCAGCTTCTTTTCCACAAGTACAATCTCATCAGGCATAGGCTCTTCTTCCTCTTCTGCAGATGTTGAGGGTGATTCCATCACTGGAGATGAGTTGCTCTTCAGGAAGCTGCAGTGAATACATCATAACATGAAAGCAGTTCAACAAATAAACAGTCACACAAATGGATAAAAAAAATAAATGACTTTATTTATAAATAAACAAACGATAGTTTACAGGTAATTTAACTTCCGTAGATCCCCCTCCCCCCCCTTTTTTGGTGGGGGTGGTGGTGGGTGTGGGGGCTTTATAAGAGTTTGTATGTGCATACATGTACATATGCATGCATGACTAGTTACATAGTATGCATGCATTCATGCATGGATGTCTGTTTGCATTTACGTATCTATATCAAACTGTACACAATAGTTTATCACATACAGATCCCAAATTCATGCAATTTGGTTGTATCATCATGTCGATAACATGTGCTATACTACACCTACAAGTATACATTTAGAATAAATGGAATGTTTTGAGGAATGACTATCAACCTGAATCATGAAAAGATATTGAGTGATAACCCAACTACTGACCATATATATATTCAACTCCGAAATAGCTACATGTCCAACATACCCTGATCTGAATGAATCCCAAAGGCCAGCCTTCAGTGGGCAAACTTTTCGCTTATTCCTCCCTGTCAATTATTTTGCAACTTGATTGTAAGGGATTGTTCATTTTTCTATTAATAATTTGCAGTAGAAACCTAACTCTGAATAAAGTAAGACGACATCTAAAAATTAAATATGCTATTATTGTTTGACACAGCATCCATTGTCCAAAACTTAGTAACAAAATGAATTTAAGGAAGCTGGAAAAAAGAGAGATTATCAACTTCACTTTAGTCCAATGGGATGAACCCCCTTGAAAGGGAAGTTAATTTTAGAGATGTTAGGACATAGGAAGCATGCAAATCATAATATATGCTCTAAGTGAATAGAATGCCCAAATGAATCTGAACAAGAAAAAGGAGAGAGAAATTTAAGAAACCAATTACTCGATCCAAATATACAAAATAGACATATCTCAATTAAAAAATTATTCATGGTCAGCCTGATTCATCAATAGTATAAATTTGAAGTACACTATCATGACAAAATCAAAGCTAAGATATCTGTTTATGATGAAACTACAAATATAGATGGAAAGATATTTTTTTGCTAACTTGCATTCATACTTAAGAAGTATGTGGAATATGACTAGCATTCAAGATAAGAAAATTCTTGAAGATAAGAAACAAGAAATTCCAAAATACTTCTTTTATGCAGCATTTAAGACATAATACTGCAGCCTCTTGGGGTCTTTCCAAATGGAAAACTCCAATACTTGATCTTTCTACACATTGATCATTCTTGACACTGAACAATGATTCTTTTCTAATGGGTATGCTGGGATCTGAACAATGGAAGTCAAACTCACAACCAAATGCTCCAACCACTGCATTTTGAGCCTAATACTATTTATTCCACTCCTAGAATTACATGGTCTCCAAAATCAATAATAGATAGCTTGAAATCCTTTTCAGTTTTCAATTATGGCACCTATAAGTGCCAAAGCATATGCAGTTCACATCAAGCAAACTCTTGCAGGCAACATAATGCGTCTTGTCTTACTATATTGAACAACCTGATCCAAATAAGGCATAATAGACAGGATATATCGCATTTTCTAGCTAGACATTGTCTATATCAACGCATCTATTGATGGGTCCCTTCTTATAGACAATATCCAGCTAAAAAGATACTGACCATCCATTCAGAGTTCATAAGACTGGGCAAATAAATATATGATGCTTAAGTTAATCGTTTTTTAATAGTTCCATTTAAACATGATAGAAACCCTCAAAGTTCAACTTTTCAGTGGACTTAATAATTTTCCATGATGGATCTAACATTTTCTTAACTAAACTCGACATATTATTGACAGAGTTGGATGGAAGACAATATTGGGTTGGTTCTTAGTACGCTGAGATACAGTGAAATCTTGACTACTGGGTTGATGGCTGTAATTTGAGTCCAATTACTACTATTTCTCTACCACAAAATAATCATCAAAGTCATTACAAAAGAGAACCAGAGAGCTCCTGTGGATATCCCATTTATGCTTGTATTGCCATCCAGTAGTGTTATAACACATACCAAATCTTACAAAGCACGACAAGGGGAAGTAATGATAAAGATCCTATTCGATACTCGACGAGCAGTTGTCCAATTCATTTGACAGATGCACTTATTTGTAATCCAGTCAGTTAATTTATAAAATGCATGATGGAAATAACTCCAAATTTCTACCTTCTGCAAAGCAAAAGCCATCCATATCCTGCCTGAGCATCCCACAAGTAGGGCAAGAGCTCCACCCTTGACGAAGGGTCCATGGTCTTTGGGATTGGGAGTGGTGACAAAAATTCACATAGAAGAACTGAGAAATTTCCCAACTAATAAATGGATAGATACCTGGGATGACTTTATAGGATATGTCATGTATAGGAATGTATATTGCAGGTACAGTAGGAAACACTATGGTATTGGGATTGGGAGTTGTGACAAAATTCACATAGAACTGAGAAATTCCCCAACTAATAAATGGATATAGACCCGGGGTGACTTCATATGATATTTCATGTGTATAGGAATGTACATTGCAGGTACAATACGAAACAAATAGTTTCTAACTAATAAGACGTAGCAAATATTGTATGTTTCAAAAAAAAAAAATTTAAAAAAGACCTAGTAAATATTGCATCTTCAAACTAGGTCCTGCATACAAGGATCCCTAGAGTTACTAAAGGAGTAGGCTACCTCTGTCTACAGGGGCAATGCCAGAGGGCGAGATCCAAAACCATTGTGTGTGAATAACTTAAAAAGGACAGGCAGGGCTCATATTTATTTGCCCCTATGCCAATCAATTGAGATATGGTTGACACAAATGTGCTAATCATGACTGAAAAAAATCATATTGAAGTAGCAACAATCCGGACAAAGCAAAATCAAACCCTGATAAGGGCCTTTCTTTTTATATTTCTGGTTAGGAAACGTTCCTGGGCACCCCCATATGCCCTGTTTAGTCACATCCAATCCAATTGTTGGATTGAAACACCTTCGATTAATCGAATACATAGTATTTCAGAGTACAATGAAAAGAAAAGAAAGAAAAGATGGTGTGTCCGTGCCATATACATTATTATCCTAAGGTCTTCTCTTCCCCTGCTGTCTCCATTTGAGTTGTCAGTATAGGTCTTTGGGCATCTCTAAAGGTTTTGGGCATGCTTTCTCTTCTCTCTCAAGGATCAGCGTGCTCTCTCTCCCTCTCAGTATTCTCTCTGTTAGGATTACTTAAAATCGGATTTCCCCCCTTTTGATTGAGAGGCCCTGATTTTAAAGGGGAAATACCGGATGTGATGATTGTGGGGTAGTGGGTTTTTTTGCTTCGGTACCAGCCACTCAAATCTTCAGTTATAGGGTTGATAAGTGTATCTACATGTTAAAATATCAGATATGCACATATTTAAAATCATCCAAATCATACATAAGCATTGAATGACTTAACCCTTAATGATCTTTCACAGTAGTTATGGCAATATGCTTATCAGTTAACCAAGGTAAATCCCCTTAAAGAGCATATCACTCATATATGAAAGGGGCAACTTCCATATAACTGTGTTACCAATCATAGGTACCGATATCAAAGGGTATTTAGGCCTGATTTATTCATAAATGACCCACCATCTTGACATGTATATGCTCAAGGTTCCCTCATGTTTAGCCAATACCTTAGTATAGGGTCCAAAATCGGCAACATCTCACTGAGATTTGAACCTCAACACATAAGTCGACCTTATTCGTCGCACATGTATCATTTTCAGAGTGTATGTGCTCTAAATTCATAAATTTTTCTGATGAAAACAGGCCCCACATATTTGCTGCAGTTACAACCTTTCATGATTGTATCAGCCCAAAAATCAATCAAATATATTGATTTCTTCTGCCCACAGCTTGTTTCAGTTATATTTATCATACTCAAGCTGATCTCATAGGTCATTGCTCCGAAATCAAGCACTACAGGCCCACACAAACATCAGCCATGGTTATGGGATGTTGGGCTGAAATTGAGTCCAATAGACCCATAACTTCTTTGGGGTTTCTCCTTGGACATTATCCTTGGTCACAGTGACCTGTTGGAGGCTATATGAGAAAGTATATGGCCTTTTTCATATGACGCATGCCTTCCAAGGGCATTTGCCACAGTTAAGCATATTTAACCATGGTTAAATCCTCCTAGGAGTTCTTTTGGACTTACGGTGACATAAAAACTACCTAAACAATATCATTACAGCATGTGAAAGCAGGAAAACTATGAGAAATATTGCATCTACTTATGTTCCTCATCCTTGCAAGCAAAATGCATCTACTTATGTTCCTCATCCATGCAAGCAAAAATTAGTATGGGATATGTAAGGTCTTTCTGAGTTGGTACGTGGGATTGTGTCCACCTTTGTTGATCATTGGGAAACCCTTTTAAGTTGCCACTCTATAGTGAGAAAATAAGGCCAATATAGTTGTAGAATGAAGGATAATCTTTTTGGAGGAAGAGATCAAGCTCTATGAGGTTGAACCTTCTCTCTCTAGTCTGGTTCAGTATTTGGATTTACAGCCTTCTTCAAAATTATCCAAGTAATTTATTCACTTCTATGAAAAAAATTCTCCGAGGATGTTTCCAGATAATTTTTTTTTCTGGGCATATGGTTCATAATGAGTAAGTTCATATGGTTCCTCATTGAATAACAAAAGCATAGAATATCAAACAGCAAGTTAGGCTACAAACCTGATGCGAGTAAGGGGGGATAAGAAGGAAGCAATACTTGATTTGTGTGGGACTGACAAGCACAGACATGAATGTGGCACCTACAGTGAAAGAAATGTTAGATGAATTGCAAATAGAATTTGGGGGAAAGTATACCATAATCGAATGATAAGAGAAAAACCATATTCCATATGATTCATCACCATCTATTGAAGTCATGCACAGAGATGACGATCGTGACCCACAATTGGAGCCATGCCACTTTTCAATGACTCGCTCTCTCTCTTATCAATGTTAGTCTTTTTTTTCTATTCTAAGCTATCAATGGAAGTTATCAGGCATTTAATATGAAATCACAGCAATCTTTAAAGAAACCGTAGCAATATGAATGCAAAAAGAACTAACTTCTCAAACAATATTTGGATTCAAACCATTCAAGGTAAATAAATTACAATCTACCAGAGGCCCATAGATGCTACCAAGAACCATTCCACATGTGTATTACATGTAGGTACTCTTCAATATGTGATTCTCTATTTGTTCTCAGAGTCATTCTAATGACATGAATGGAAATTGACCTATTTTTTGAACTGAAAATGCATATTCACTCATCCTCTCGAATATCTGGCATCATTCATGAAAGTTCAGAGAAAAAATAAAAACTGAACAAGAAAAAAAAAGAAGAAAAAGAAAGCAGACATTTCTGTTATTCACAAAACATAAGAACAAGCCTCGTTTAATCCCATGAAAGTGAACCCAGTACATGATATACAATAAAGAAACTAGCACATGTACTCATTATAATAGGAATGCAGTTTTGTCAAAGAGAAGCCAATGCCGAAGAGGATAATTTGCATATGAAAGAGGAAAAGAACAAATGAAAACAAGAAAACAAGAGAGAACAAATGAAACAACAGGCCAACATCAGCTAGATTGACAGAAGTTTTCTCAGCACATTAACAAGTTCCTCATCATCATCAGAGCTTTTTTGCTCTAACAAGGGCCATACTCTCTATGCTCAATCAATACCTACTTTCAAAAGTCCTTAATTTTATTCGGTTGATAATTTTGCAAAAACTTAATCACCAACACCATAAATCAGGCGAAACTTCTACATAACACCTCAAATTGCCTAACCATCTATCATTGAAGGGGCAATAAATTCATCAAAAGAAAAACATCTTTTTAATCAAAGACAAACAAAACGTAAAATGAAATATACAGGTTAAGGAAAACAAAGTTGAAGAACATGGCAAAATATGCAAGGGAATAGAAGATATACTAAGAAACAAAAAACACTGACTTGTTCTAATTAATCTAATAATAGTGTCAAAAAATTCCATTTGGTGAAAATTGTAATCCAAAATTAAGTAAAAAACATGATAAGGAAAGAACTATAAGTCGTGCTCTTCGCAGAAAATCAAAATTTATAGTCACTAAATTCGAGTCTAGAAAATGAAAATTGCAGACACCCCAAGTGAGAAAATATCAAGAACACTCCAAATTTCTACTCTGTAAAAACTTCCCATAAGTACTGCATTCATATAACATTTCTTCATCCATGGAGCTCCCTTTTTATCGATCATTCCACCCATGGGGTTTCAGAGTAAAGCTATAAATCAGCTAATTGAACTATCCATAGAAAAATGCAAACCCCATACCGAAAAAGCAGAGATAGAATGAAACAAAACATAAACAGAGAGTGAGAACGAGAAAGCTGTCAAAATTCCTCCAAGTTTAAATGAGGCACCCAGTAACCACTCTCTGTAAATTTCCACAACCCACTTACCATAAAGCTTGGATTAAATCAAAATTCGACCACGTATCCATGCAAATTCTGTAACACACTAATTTTACTTGCAATGCAGAACTAGAAACAAATATTAGAGAGAGCATAATATAAAGAAATGTCATCTAATTGGAGAGAGAGCTCACAGAGAAGCAAGTAAGGCCATGGGTTCTATTGTTTAATAACACGGATTTTAATTTCACTTCCCTTTCTGTTGTGGGTACAAAACAAAGAAGAGCAAAAGCTCAAGCTTGCAAGCTTCTCTGATATTTGGCTTTAGGATCCAGTTTCAATATGGCCGAAGCTTTAAGAAAAGAAAGCGTCACCTCGAATCCTCATCCCGATTGTCATAGTAGGGCAGGAAATGGACCGGCCGCAACCCGGACCTGAGTGGAAGATCCGCTCCATGTCCGGTTATGGGTCAAAAAATTGGAACCAAAATAGTATTTGGGTCTGGGTACAGTAATATTTTTTGGGTCATGAAATATAAAATATATTTAAATATATAAATATTTTAATTTTTAGGTCAGGTTTGTGTCCCACGCTACATTTTTGGATCCTCGTCTGGGTCCCATGAATTCAGGTCTAGGTCCCATATCATTTTTTGAATTCAAGTCTGGTCAGGTCTAGGTCGCATATCATTTTTTTGAGTTCAGTTCAGGGTCCAGGGACCTCACCCGTTGCCACCCCTACTCATCCGAACCAAGGCTTTATGAAAATAAAGTAAAGCCTCACCTTGAATTCTCGTCAAAAAAGCATTTTGGGCATAGGAAATATCCATGATGGCTATCTTCCAACACTTACTATGAAATTTGAAACTAAAAAAATAATACAGATCTTGCGAGTTTTTAAATACTCATTTTTAGGGCTCCATAGAGAGTCTAGATAATGTGTTACAATGTATATTATTTTTAATGCTCAAAATCCTAATTTACTTTCACAACTGTAATGGTCAAGGCCGGGATGGCCTGGCCAATTTATTTTCCTTCACTTAATGTATTATTTTATTTTAATTGTAGCGATATTTATAGGAGCCGTCCTCCTTGTACTGTACAAGTAAGGCATACCTCAAAATTTTGTATGAAGATGTATTTCTCAGGTCGGAAATGTTATAATGGTTTGAAAATCTACTTGTATCACTACTTAAGAAATTTAAAATCTCGAGAATCATTCAGATCGAGTTGAACTACAAATACATACAAATATTGAAAGTAGACAATTGATTTTTTTATTTTTTTAATTATAATGATATTTATATGAGACGCCCTCCTTATACTATACAAGTAAGGCACACCTCTAAATTTTGTCTCGAGATATATTTCCCATGTCGGAAATGTTATAATGGTTTGAATATTTACTTTTACAGCTAGTTACGAAATTTTAAGTTTCAAAAATCATACAGATCGAGTAGAACTACAAATATTGAAAGTAAACAATTCATATATTTTGTTACAAAATGTAACACTTGCTGTGTTTATATATTTTGAGGTCGAGATGTTCAAATTGAGGGGTTTTCCAACACCTGAACACGCTCTTCAAGAGGATTTTTGAAATACATATTACTTCAATAGAATAGGGTTAATACCCACCAAAAATTTTTTTCTTTCTTTCCTCTTGATCGGTGTGGTTATAGCATGCACCTTCTGGAGCATAAAATCAATTCACTCCATGGCAGTAAAAAACTTTTTTTTTTTTTTTGTAATTCAGTGGGGATGACGAGCCCTTACTTATTTTTTGAAATCGTTAATGGCTTTTTAATGCGTTTGGTGATGATGGAAGCCTAGACTTTAGCTGGGATACACGTGACTCATTCTCACAAAATAAAAAAAAAGCCTTACTTTGGAGCACGTTTTTTGCATGTTTGATAATAGGAACTTCCAGCTTTGAAAACTGAAAATTCTAATTCATGGGAGCACTCCTTTGAAGTACTAAGCTAAATTGGATTTAGGAAGTTTTGGGCATTGTTGTTAGATTTATGTCATAGGCTTTTTCGGTTTGGTGGAAAAAATAAATCAATTTGGTTATTCGACATATTTAAGAGAAGCTTTCATACTTTTTTAAAAAAAATTAATATAAAAAAACTAGATATTTATATATATAATATACAAAACAATGGATAATTTTTACAACAAAAAATAATAATAAAAACAAAAAACAAACTTTTATGTGGAAGCTTCGGCCGAGTAAGCCTGAAGCAGACTTGAATCTAATGAAGCCTCCACCAAGTTTGGTTTCTCTTCGGATGAAGTGTCGGTCTCTTCGGTTGAAGTGTCGGCCTCTTCGACCGAAACGAAGCCACTTTGACAACAATACTTAAGACGTTTTCATTGCAAGGCATGTGGAGATACTCAACATTCCACTGTTGGGGTTCCCCCCTACCCCCACATGCAAGGGCATATGAGAAGATCATGTAATTCCAATAAAAGTTCGTGGAATTATATCATATGAAAAAAAGGAAAACTTAATCACATACTCTCCATATATGCATTTGCTCTCATGGGTGGCAACTGGTCGGGCCAGACCCGAACCCAAAAAATGATATGGACCCCGACTAAACCCGACTAGACCCGATCGGACCTAACCCAAAAATTAAAATATTTATTTATTTATCGATATTTAAATATGTTTCGTATACTAGGATCTCAAAAATATTATCAGATTTGGACCCCGAATAGTGTTCAGGTCTAAGATTTGGACCTGGACAAAACCCATCGAATCTAAGTTTTGGACCCCGACCCAGACGTTGATCAGGTCTATTCGTCGGGTCCCGATCCATTGCCACCCCTATTTGTTCCTTTGAGCAAAGGCTATGCTATAATTATTTTTAGGATCCAAAATTTTGAGATACGACCTCATCGAACCTGGCAACCAAACTAATACAAAAGAAACCTGAATATGCAACTGGGATCGGCAAAGAAAAAAATCATGCCATGTAATTCCACAGAGAATTGCATGTTAAATGTGTTAGGTTTATGTGGCCTTTAAAGGCCTTATAATTGTGTAATAAAAACATTTGATATACTAGAATATGATCTCAGTGAGAGTGTGGTCCCTCGTGAACCATACTAAGTAAACGATATTTGCTAATATCGATCTGTGTTTGACGATCTAAGCCGGTCGGTTGGAAAAAACCCATGTTACCTGAGCATAAAGAACAAACCGGTGAGGGTTTATGGGTTAGCCCTTGATGAGGTTGGAAGACATGTCCGGATCAGTGAGCCGAGGGATTGTGTGACCCTTGTGTATGATGGTGACCTACAGAGACAGGGCCAAAGCCTCATCCATGTACCATCACACGACATGCATATCGATAGATCGTTCCGAAAAGTCAGAAATTCATTTTTTAGGATGAAGCATATGTATTACGAGATATACCCATATCCGCCATAGAGCTGTGGTCGCATAATGTATTGGTGATCTTGACTCGTCTCTAAGGGAGGACTTGTAATCTACATACTGGGATTGCGACCCCTTGGCTCATCGGGCAAACTTTGGTAACCCACTAATGGGCCCTTGCTTGGACTGTGAGTCATGGGAAACACTGAGTTGATCTGATAAAGCAAGTGTGGTCCATAATCCACAATTGAAGGTGGAGTGCCCCATGATTGTTAATTCAATTCCGAAACCATATGGAACCATTTCTCATCAAATTAATTTAATTGTGTTTGTTTTATGCTAATGATTATTTTAGAATTATTATTTGAATTTTTTTAACCTTTTGATATTTTATTTATAAAATTAAATATATTGATTTTACAATGTTTAACTTTTACAATAATTTTTTTTTAAATTTTAAAATGTATAAAAAAAATATCACGAGGGCTCATTGTTCACATGGGCCCACCATGCATCACCAATAGGATCATTTATTTGAGATCAAGTTATTTTAAGTTTTGGTAAATAACATTGTGCCATGTAGTCAAATATGATATGGGAATATTTTGACCATATATTGACAAAATATTAAAAGTATATATTGACTTGATATATATTTTGAAGAGTTTGTGAAAGTATAAGAAATACTATGCTATTTTATGAAATGCATCATATTTTAATTAAATTAAATTTATTTAATTATTTTCTAATGGTGGGGAAATGGTCAAGGAAATGGGAATAATGATTCATGCACATTCCATAATGTTGATGGCCCATCAATGAAATGGATGGCTCAGATCTCTTACCCCATAAGTCATCATGATCAACTGTTCATATTCAATCTTAACAAAATAGGCAAACTACGAAAAACCCTATACCTAATTTTGTACTATAAATAGGGGAGTACCCCCTATTTTCTACACCTTTCTCTCTCTCTCCCACGGCTCTCTATCTCCTTTGTCCCATAGGGGTATGCCCTACTCTCTCTCCTCTGACCTTCTCTCTCCCACCACTCTCTATCTCCTCTTTCCTATAGGGGCATGCCCTACTCTCTCTCCTCTGGCCTTCTCCCTCCAAACTTTGTCTCTCTCCTAACCCATAGAGGAGCACGCCCCAACCCTAGAGTCCTAACTATTATCTCTCATCCTAAAAATTATAAGGGTTTGGTAATGTGGGGATAATCCAAAATATTTGGGGGGTTAGGTTTTGAGCTTTTAGAGATTTAAATGTGAATATATAGTTTGGCCAAAATTTACTTTTTCGTTCGATAATGAAGCCGGACCGTTGATCCCGCGCTATTAGATGGTGGTGACTCGGTGCGTGGTGTAATAAACCCGGTTGAGGTAATCTCCGGCATTATTCATTTTGTTTATTGCAATATTATCTTATATTTTATTCTCAAGCATAGTGCATAGTTGTTTCAATGACATCAAGTTGTTAAGATATTGGTTTTATTGTTATGTTGATTTTATTTTGAAATTTTTTTTGTTTTAATAGAGACTACCTGCAAGTGATA